GGAGGGCAATGTGTTGTGTTGTTGAGTGCAATGTGTTTTGTGGTGGAGTGCAATGTGTTGTGTGGTGGAGGGCAATGTGTTGTGTTGTGGAGTGCAATGTGTTGTATGTTGGAGGGCAATGTGTTGTGTGGTGGAGGGCAATGTGTTGTGTCGTGAAATACAATGTGTTGTGTGTTGGAGTGCAATGTGTTGTGTGGTGGAAAGCAATGTGTTGTGTGTTGGAGTGCAATGTGTTGTGTGTTGGAGTGCAATGTGCTGTATGTTGGAGGGCAATGTGTTGTGTTGTTGAGTGCAATGTGTTTTGTGGTGGAGTGCAATGTGTTGTGTGGTGGAGGGCAATGTGTTGTGTGCTGGAGGGCAATGTGTTGTGGGGTGGAGGGCAATGTGTTGTGGGGTGGAAAGCAATGTGTTGTGTGTTGGAGTGCAATGTGTTGTGTGTTGGAGTGCAATGTGTTGTATGTTGGAGGGCAATATGTTGTGTTGTTGAGTGCAATGTGTTGTGTGGTGAAGTGCAATGTGTTGTGTGGTGGAGTGGAATGTGTTGTGTGGTGAAGTGCAATGTGTTGTGGGGTGGAGGGCAATGTGTTGTGTGGTGGAGTGCAATGTGTTGTGTGGTGGAGTGTAATGTCTTGTGTGGTGGTGGGCAATGTGTTGTGTGGTGGAGTGCAATGTGTTGTGTGTTGGAGTGCAATGTGTTGTGTTGTTCAGTGCAATGTGTTGTGTGGTGGAGTGCAATGTGTTGTGTGGTGGAGTGCATTTTGTTGTGTGTTGGAGTGCAATGTGTTGTATGTTGGGGGGCAATGTGTTGTGTTGTTGAGTGCAATGTGTTGTGTGGTGGAGTGTAATGTCTTGTGTGGTGGAGTGCAATGTGTTGTGTGTTGGAGTGCAATGTGTTGTGTGGTGGAGTGCAATGTGTTGTATGTTGGAGTGCAATGTGTTGTGTGGTGGAGTGCAATGTGTTGTGTGGTGGAGTGCAATGTGTTGTGTGGTGGAGTGCAATGTGTTTTGTGGTGGAGTGCAATGTGTTGTGTGGTGGAGGGCAATGTGTTGTGTGGTGGAGGGCAATGTGTTGTGGGGTGGAGGGCAATGTGTTGTGGGGTGGAAAGCAATGTGTTGTGTGTTGGAGTGCAATGTGTTGTGTGTTTGAGTGCAATGTGTTGTATGTTGGAGTGCAATGTGTTGTGTTGTTGAGTGCAATGTGTTGTGTGGTGAAGTGCAATGTGTTGTGTGGTGGAGTGGAATGTGTTGTGTGGTGGAGGGCAATGTGTTGTGTGGTGGAGTGCAATGTGTTGTGTGGTGGAGTGCAATGTGTTGTGTGGTGGAGTGCAATGTGTTGTGTGGTGGAGTGCAATGTGTTGTGTGGTGGAGGGCAATGTGTTGTGTGGTGGAGTGCAATGTGTTGTGTGGTGGTGGGCAATGTGTTATGTGGTGGTGGGCAATGTGTTGTGTGGTGGTGGGCAATGTGTTGTGTGGTGGAGTGCAATGTGTTGTGTGGTGGAGTGCAATGTGTTGTGTGGTGGAGGGCAATGTGTTGTTGGGTGGAGTGCAATGTGTTGTGTGGTGGAGTGCAATGTGTTGTGTGGTGGTGGGTAATGTGTTGTGTGGTGGTGGGCAATGTGTTGTTTGGTGGTGGGCAATGTGTTGTGTGGTGGAGTGCAATGTGTTGTGTGGTGGAGTGCAATGTGTTGTGTGGTGGAGTGCAATGTGTTGTGTTGTTGAGTGCAATGTGTTGTGTGGTGGAGTGCAATGTGTTGTGTGGTGGAGTGCAATGTGTTGTGTGGTGGAGTGCAATGTGTTGTGTGGTGGAGTGCAATGTGTTGTGTTGTTGAGTGCAATGTGTTGTGTGGTGGAGTGCAATGTGTTGTGTGTTGGAGTGCAATGTGTTGTGTGGTGGAGTGCAATGTGTTGTGTGGTTGAGTGCAATGTGTTGTGTGGTGGAGTGCAATGTGTTGTGTGGTGGAGGGCAATGTGTTGTGTCGTGAAGTACAATGTGTTGTGTGTTGGAATGCAATGTGTTGTGTGGTGGAGTGCATTTTGTTGTGTGTTGGAGTGCAATGTGTTGTATGTTGGGGGGCAATGTGTTGTGTTGTTGAGTGCAATGTGTTGTGTGGTGGAGTGCAATGTGTTGTGTGGTGGAGGGCAATGTGTTGTGTTGTGGAGTGCAATGTGTTGTATGTTGGAGGGCAATGTGTTGTGTGGTGGAGGGCAATGTGTTGTGTCGTGAAATACAATGTGTTGTGTGTTGGAGTGCAATGTGTTGTGTGGTGGAAAGCAATGTGTTGTGTGTTGGAGTGCAATGTGTTGTGTGTTGGAGTGCAATGTGTTGTATGTTGGAGGGCAATGTGTTGTGTTGTTGAGTGCAATGTGTTTTGTGGTGGAGTGCAATGTGTTGTGTGGTGGAGGGCAATGTGTTGTGTGGTGGAGGGCAATGTGTTGTGGGGTGGAGGGCAATGTGTTGTGGGGTGGAAAGCAATGTGTTGTGTGTTTGAGTGCAATGTGTTGTATGTTGGAGGGCAATGTGTTGTGTTGTTGAGTGCAATGTGTTGTGTGGTGAAGTGCAATGTGTTGTGTGGTGGAGTGGAATGTGTTTTGTGGTGAAGTGCAATGTGTTGTGGGGTGGAGGGCAATGTGTTGTGTGGTGGAGGGCAATGTGTTGTGTGGTGGAGGGCAATGTGTTGTGTGGTGGTGGGCAATGTGTTGTGTGGTGGAGTGCAATGTGTTGTGTGGTGGTGGGCAATGTGTTGTGTGGTGGTGGGCAATGTGTTGTGTGGTGGTGGGCAATGTGTTGTGTGGTGGAGGGCAATGTGTTGTGTGGTGGTGGGCAATGTGTTGTGTGGTGGAGGGCAATGTGTTGTGTGGTGGAGGGCAAAGTGTTGTGTGGTGGAGTGCAATGTGTTGTGTTGTGAAGGGCAATGTGTTGTGTGGTGGTGGGCAATGTGTTGTGTGGTGGTGGGCAATGTGTTGTGTGGTGGAGGGCAATGTGTTGTGTGGTGGAGTGCAATGTTTTGTGTTGTGGAGTGCAATGTGTTGTATGTTGGAGTGCAATGTGTTGTGTGGTGGAGTGCAATGTGTTGTGTTGTTGAGTGCAATGTGTTGTGTGGTGGAGTGCAATGTGTTGTGTGGTGGAGTGCATTTTGTTGTGTGTTGGAGTGCAATGTGTTGTATGTTGGGGGGCAATGTGTTGTGTTGTTGAGTGCAATGTGTTGTGTGGTGGAGTGCAATGTGTTGTATGTTGGAGGGCAATGTGTTGTGTTGTTGAGTGCAATGTGTTGTGTTGTTGAGTGCAATGTGTTGTGTGGTGGAGTGCAATGTGTTGTGTTGTTGAGTGCAATGTGTTGTGTGGTGGAGTGCAATGTGTTGTGTGGTGGAGTGCAATGTGTTGTGTGGTGGAGTGCAATGTGTTGTATGTTGGAGGGCAATGTGTTGTGTGGTGGTGGGCAATGTGTTGTGTGGTGGAGTGCAATGTGTTGTGTGGTGGAGTGCAATGTGTTGTGTGGTGGAGTGCAATGTGTTGTGTGGTGGAGTGCAATGTGTTGTGTGGTGGAGTGCAATGTGTTGTGGGGTGGAGGGCAATGTGTTGTGTGGTGGAGTGCAATGTGTTGTGTGGTGGTGGGCAATGTGTTGTGTGGTGGTGGGCAATGTGTTGTGTGGTGGAGTGCAATGTGTTGTGTGGTGGAGGGCAATGTGTTGTGTGGTGGAGTGCAATGTGTTGTGTTGTGAAGGGCAATGTGTTGTGTAGTGGAGTGGAGCGTGGTGTGTGGTGGAGTGTAAAGTGTTGTGTCGTAAAGTACAGTGTGTTGTGTCGTGCAGTGTGTTCTGTCGTAAAGTGCAATGTGTAGTGTGACGGAGTTCAATGTGGTGTGTTGTGAACAACAATGTGCTGTGTGGTGAAGTACGTAGTGTTGTCTGGTGAAGTAGAATGTCTTGTGTGAGGCGCATAACAATGTGTTGTGGGGAAAAGTGCAATGTGTTGTCTTGTGAAGTACAATGTGTTGTGTGGTGGAGAGCAGTGTGTTCTGTCGTGAAGTGCAATGTGTTCTGCCGTGAAGTGCTATGTGTTGTGTGGTGGAGTGCAATGTGTTGTCTTGTGAAGTACAATGTGTTGTGTGTTAAGTACAATGTGTTGTTTGTGGTGAAGTACGATGTGGTTTGTGGTTAAGTACAATATGCTGTATCGTGAATTACAATGTGTTGTTTGGTGAAGTACAATTTGTTGTCTTGTGAAGTACAATGTGTTGTGTGGTAAAGTGCAATGTGCTGTCTCGTGAAGTGCAATGTGTTGTGTGACGAAGTACAGTGTGTTGCGGGTGGTGAAGTACACTGTGTCGTTGTGTGGTGAAGTAAGATGTGGTTTGTGGTTAAGTACAATATGCTGTATCGTGAATTACAATGTGTTGTGTTGTGAAGTACAAAGTGTTGTATGGTGAAGTACAATCGGGCGTTTCTGTTTATTTACAATTCGTATTTCAGGTTCAACACATAACGTGACGAAGACAGTAGATACTTTACATCGTCGTTGAACCCCACGAGTAGGTGTTTGGTGGTAACAGATTAAGTTTAGGTGAAATGGGGTTTAACGTCGCGTCCTAGATTATATTGCACTGATATAGCGACGTATGTGGTTCTGCTTATACTAGTCTGGACTAATGCCGGTTTTATAGTGCTAGCCGACTGACATACCATGCCGCAGTTTAACATGAATGCCCCACTCAGACACAGTCTACTGACTCCGAGCCGACCAGCCCTTGTTTTAACCCCTCGAGCACCAGGCAGGGTAACAACAAGTACCATTTGTTAACGTATTTTGGTATGACGCGGCCGAGGCTCGAACCCACAGGACAACAAAGACGGTTCTAACAGATCAAGAATATTAAACATATCACACACATATAGATTTAAGAGAGAGATTTTAGACTGTTAAACAAGATTTATTTAGTACTAGTGATTGTTACAAAACCAAGAACATAAGTAACTAAAATAAACTGCAGTATCACAAACTACCAAAATAGTGATTAGAAGAATATTTAGATTATCATAAGTGTTATTATTACCCATTGTGTTAGAAATAACCGAGTTAATAAAAATTGTATGTGCAATATAGTCCAAATATCACTTCACGCGCACCATTGTATTGTTTGAGTCATCCCTACGCCATCTTTGCCGTTTCGTAAAATCAGTAAAATCTCTATATATAATGGAGCGGTTCTGATTTTAAACATAAACACTCATTATACTTGATATTCCAAAGGCGTGTTTACCTGCAAATGCTGTCTTTATCCTACTTACAACATCATTCAACAATATGCAAGTTTACCATTCATTCTCGTTCTTAAGTAAATTCATAAGACACCTTTACAGGAACCCCAAAAAGCTAGCAACTTTCTTTATGCCGCCCACGAGTTGTGCAAATATGCCCGACCCATCATCCTTTGCCTCATCCCTTGCCATGCCTCTGGCTACCTCCTCCAGCCTACGGGCTTGTGATTCCCTCTCGGCCCTCATATCATCCTGCATCTTTTCAAGCTCAGACTGTTTTTTCTTCTGAAGCTGCATCACCTCCTCTCTATGTTCCCCTTCACGTTTTCTATTCTCCTTCTCCAATCTCATAATTTCAGCATCCCTCTCCCTTCTTTCGACTTCAATTCTCTCCACGGTCTCATTCAATTCCTCCTCCCTTCTTCGTCTGTCTTCTTCCATTCTATCCATCATTTTTAACATCGCCTCATCCCTGTCTTTCTCTCCTTTCTCCATTTCTTTCCTCCTCTCATCCTCATACTTTATCCTGTCAACTTCTATCTGCTTCCTCTCCCGATCAGCATTCGCAAGTTTATTCTGCAGCTCATTCACAGCTCCCTGGTACCTTGTCTTGTCATCTAAGCCTTTCCGTTCCATCGCCTGTAGCTGTGTCTTAAGTTCAGTCATCTTCTCATCCTGAATTTGCGTCATCTCATCATACTTGACCATGATGCTCTGTTCTATCATCTCCCGCTCTGCCTGCTGCTGTTCCTCCAGTTTCTTCTTCAGTTCCTGTTCTCGTTCTTTCATCAGTGATTCGGCTTTACGATACATTTCAGTTGTGTAACATCGTCCACCATTGGAGGACACCAGCCTATCAATCCCCTGGAGGAAATGCTTCACCCATTCTTCCTTCTCAATGTCAGACATGAAGTTGTTGAGAGCATAGTAACGACCTTTACAGTCAGCAATCAGTTTCCTCAGAGGACCAGGGCTATCCTGGATAAAGGTCTCAATGGTCATCCCATGCTGGTCCAGGTCATCTTTTCCCGTGAAAACAACAACGAGGTAGTTCAAAACGTCTTTCCCAAAGACCTTCATGAAATACTGGACAGTCTGTTGTTCTTCCTCTGTAAAACGGTTGAGTCTGGTAACCAGGACAATAGAGTGAAGTCCAGGAGAGGTCATCGCCACACACTTCATGATTTCTCTAGACGACATTTCGTTTGTCATTCCTGTGTCAAACAATCCAGGAGTGTCCACAATCTGAATATGTCGATCGAACCTTCTCACCATCTCCTGTTGACACTGTTTGGTTATAGATGCACCGCAGAGTTTCGACACGAACGCCTGAGTTCCAGCCAGTGTGTTTCCTGTGGCACTCTTTCCAGATCCAGTCTTCCCAATTAAAACTATCCTCGTCTCATCCTTCACAAAACTCCTCCCGGCATAAAGACTCTCAAGAAATGCTGAAAACATTCAAATACAATTTGTAGTTTTCTCAACATATTTTATTATAAAGTTATTTGCTGTAGTTGACATGGGGAAGAAAGACCGCAGGTGAATATCAGAAATACGTGGATTAACAAACCTTCATTGTGAGGCTTCGATTCCTCTCTCTGTCCTGGTACTAGGTCTCTCCAAGGATCTGCAATGGCAACACGTTCTGGTAGAAAGGTTGTTAATAATCTTACCTTCTCTTTCGTAAATAATCACCAAACATTTGAAACAGTTGTAATTATAGACACAAGGAATTTCTTTATAATCGAGATTGGTTATAGTCTTGCTTTGGTGTTTTATATTTGGTGGGCTTGTGGGCAGCCTCTTCTAACTTATTTCTAACTCCAGTCTAAGTTGTTGAGAGCATAAGAAAACACCGATATATCTACAAGGATCTTAAATGGGAACACATTGTGATAAAATAATTGCAATTAACTTAATGTTTCTTTCAGAAGTGAGTCACCAAGCATCAGTAGTGTTTGTAGACAAAGAAACTCTTGTCAAGTATTACCAGGATGCATCATAGAGAATCCACACCCTTACTTTCCTCACTCTTGTTATGTAGTAGACAGGATTCCGATTAATGTCAAAGATACACATGTATAATGGGTATGTTGTACGGAAGAACATAAGACAATAAACCATATTCCTTTGAAGCATCTACGAAATGGATAGCAAACTGCCATATTAACAGCTCAGAAAAATTCCTTCGTTGAGACCAGTTTCTTGGCTAAAAGTGCGGCGTAAATCCCACCTCACTCACTTGTCAAGAGCACCATGCATTGTCTCTGGTCGACCTCGTTAAGTTCTACACGTCGTTCATTTCCAGTAGAAGTTCAGGTGGGGCAAATGTATTAATAGTTATGTTCGAGATAAAAATAGGATTTTACGTTTATAAACACAAACACAAATTGAAATATGTTTATTTGTGTGTTTATCGCCGCACTCAGCAATATTCCAGCTGTATGACGGCGTTGTGTAAGTCACCGAGTCTGGACCAGACAATGCAGTGATTGATATTGTGATCGACTTTCCACGCCGTCATGTACGATGAAGCTCTATGAACAAAGTCATCGATCCTGGCCATCCAATCCATGTGGTCGCCTCTTACGACCAGCACAGGTGGCTGGGATACAAGTTCTAAAACAAAATCCCCAGATGATGTTGTCAAATCGTATAAATAATTAGCATTATAGCTTCACAGACTGCTCATGAAATCATTAACATAATCACAAAACCGTAGACATACGAAATCAGTGACATAAATGAACCCAATAATGCAACACTTTATTATCAGATCCTATCAGGAAGCGGTAATCAGCTGGTGGGCGTGTACTACCTTCGAAAATTGCTTGTTCAGCCAATCAAATGGCATGGCATCCCTTGCAAGGTTTACATTTATTCAGTATTCCATAACCTGACCTGCATATGGCAAAAATGGGTTTAAACGCAATCTTATCAAACGGGAATAAAGAGTTAAAAATGACAGGTAACAAAAGTAGTTTTATTAGTCTTATGTATACTGTGTGGGACTTGCATTGGATACCAGCAAGAGGAGCGTCCACTGATACAGATCAGAATGACGTGTTCACAGGATGGGACAGGAGCGTCCATCTCCAGACCATTTTCTTGCATTTTCCCTTGCCTGTTCATCAAGTCTTCGTTGAAAAATATCCTGTTGCTTTTTCTGTTCTTCTCTCATATTTGTAAGCTCCTTTTGTCTCTCTTTCTCAAGCTGCGTAAGTTCCAGCCTCTGTTTTTCTCTTTCTTTTTCCCTCTCAGCTTCCCTCAGCCTTGCATCTTCCTCCCGCTTCTTCCTTTCATTCTCAAATAGTTTCATCTTTTTCTCCATTTCAAGTTCTCTCTTCTTTCTATCTTCCTCCATCTTGTCCATCATCATAATCATTGCCTTGTTCCTGTCCTCCTCTTTCTTCTCCATCTCCTTCCTCCTCTCTTCCTCCCACTTCCTTCTATCAACCTCAATTTGCTTTCTCTCAGCTTCAGTTCTGTCGAGTTTTTGTTTCAGATGTTCCACTGCCTGCTGATGCTTTTTCTGTTCCTCTTTGCCCGCCTCCTGCACCACCTGCAGGTGATTCTGCAGACCCTGCATCTTGATGTCCTGATCCTGCAACACGCCATCATACTTTTCCTTGATGCTGCGCGCAACTGCTTCTCGTTCTTCTCTCTTCGCTTCCTCCAGCTTCCTCCTTTCTTCCTCCTCTCGTTTCTTCACTATGGCTTCTGCCTTCTTGAACATAACAGTTGTGTAACATTTACCGCCATTGGATTGTACCATTTCGTCAATGTTGGCAATGAGTTGTTTTACAAATGCTTCCTTCTCCTCTTTTGACGCCCTGTTATTGAGAGTCATGTATCTGTTGTTGCATTCTGCCAGCACCCGCTGAAGCTCTGGTGGAGCCGTCTTCACATAGTTCTCCACGGTGGTCTCCTCTGCATCCAAGTCATCCTTGCCAGTGAAGATAACCATGAGGTAATCCTTCAGTCCCTCTCCAAACACCTTCTTGAAATAGTTTACAGTTTTATTCTCTTCTTCTGTAAACCTCCCAATTTTGGTGACAAGAAACACAGCATGGATGCCCGGTGATGTCAGCAGCACACATCTCTTGATTTCCTTAGTTGTATCGGCCTTAGATGCGTGTGTATCAAACAACCCAGGGGTGTCCACGACCAGAATGTGTCTGTCAGATCTCTTGAACATGACTTCTTTACATCTGGCTGTAATGGAAGATCCGCTCAACTTGGACTCAAACGTCTTCTGCCCTGTGATAGTGTTACCCGTGGCACTCTTCCCAGATCCCGTCTTCCCTATCAGGACAATCCTCATTTCATCTCGGACAAAACTCCTCTTGCTGTAGAGTTCTTTTGCAAAACCTTAAATGATAAATGCAAAGCATAAACGACAGTGACTAAACTGTCTCGAATATCAGCAACAGATTCCATCGAGTGTAACCGCTGTTACGTATGCATGGATTACATTCTGTTAAATCGTCCAGATTTCCTTAACGATATGTTACTCAACACTGTACAAATGCGAAGCTATAATTATGCAAAAGATAAAATGTTAAGGTATGGATGTGTAGGACGTGGGCCAGATATGAGTGACGATAAGGTATAGATGTGTAGGACATTGGGCAGAGATGAGTGCAGTTAAGGTATAGATGTGTAGGACGTGGGGCAGAGATAAAAGACATTAAGGTATAGATGTGTAGGACGTGGACTAGAGATGAGTGAAGTTAAGGTATAGATGTGTAGGACGTGGACTAGAGATGAGTGAAGTTAAGGTATAGATGTGTAGGACGTGGGCTGCATATGTGTAAAGTTAAGGTATAGATGTATAGGACGTGGGCTAGAGATGAGTGAAGTTTAGGTATAGATGTATAGGACGTGGGCTGCATACGTGTAAAGTTTAGATATAGATGTATAGGACGTGGGCTAGAGATGAGTGAAGTTAAGGTATAGATCTGAAGGACGTAGGCTACAGATGAGTGAAGTTAAGGTATAGATGTGTAGGACGTGGGCTGCATATGTGTAAAGTTTAGATATAGATGTATAGGACGTGGGCTAGAGATGAGTGAAGTTAAGGTATAGATGTGTAGGACGTGGGCTGCATATGTGTAAAGTTTAGATATAGATGTATAGGACGTGGGCTAGAGATGAGTGAAGTTAAGGTATAGATCTGAAGGACGTAGGCTACAGATGAGTGAAGTTAAGGTATCGATGTGTAGGACGTGGGCTGCATATGTGTAAAGTTTAGATATAGATGTATAGGACGTGGGCTAGAGATGAGTGAAGTTAAGGTATAGATCTGAAGGACGTGGGCTGCATATGTGTAAAGTTTAGGTATAGATGTATAGGACGTGGGCTAGAGATGAGTGAAGTTAAGGTATAGATGTGTAGGACGTAAGCTACAGATGAGAGAAGTTAAGGTATAGATGTGTAGGACGTGGGCTGCATATGTGTAAAGTTAAGGTATAGATGTGTAGGACGTGGGCTGCATATGTGTAAAGTTTAGGTATAGATGTATAGGACGTGTCCTAGAGATGAGGGAAGTTAATGTATAGATGTGAAGGGTGTAGGCTAGAGATGCGGTTGTCGGCATGGGATGCGTCAGGGAAGACTTACCGTCATCATAGTCGCTATCTTTGGACTCCAGTTCAAAATTCTCCGTCTCTGAAATGAAGGAGTGTGAAAAACTCACCAAGAAGAAAGTGATTAAAGGCTTTCTTATGTCAACATGTTTTTTAGTCATTTAATGACTGAAAACTAACTAAAATATATATGGTAACACTGTGTCTTTTCGAGAACTACATGCATACACCCTCCAGACATACATACACCCTCAACATATTATTTAACACCAACGTGATGTCTCTTAAGCCTATGAACCCCCCAGTTACTAAAATCATAGGGAAGGGTCAGGCTCAGTTGAAATAAAAGGTCAGGGTCAAAGTCAGGTTATATCAAGGATCAAAGCCAAAATCAGGTTATATCATGAGTCGGGGTCAAAGTCAGGTGATATCAAGGATCAAAGCCAAAGTCAGGTTATATCATGGGTCAGAGCCAAAGTCAGGTGATATCAAGGATCAAAGCCAAAGTCAGGTTATATCATTGGTCGGGGTCAAAGTCAGGTTATATCATGGGTCGGGTTCAAAGTAAGGTTATCTCATGGGTCAGAGCCAAAGTCAGGTTATATCATGGATCAAAGCCAAAGTCAGGTTATATCATGGGTCGGGGCCAAAGTCAGGTTATATCAAGGATCAAAGCCAAAGTCAGGTTATATCATGGGTCGGGGCCAAAGTCAGGTTATATCATGGGTCAGAGCCAAAGTTAGCTTATATCATGGGCCGGCATCAAAGTCAGGTTATATCATGGGTCGGGGTCAGAGTCAAGTTATATTCTGGGTCGGGGCCAAAGTCAGGTTACATGTATATCATGGGTCGGAGTCAAGGTCAGGTTATATCATGGGTCAGAGCCAAAGTCGGGTTATATCATGGGTCGGGGTCAAAGTCAAGTTATATTCTGGGTCGGGGCCAAAGTCAGGTTATATCATGGGTCAGAGCCAAAATCAGGTTATATCATGGGTCAGAGCCCAAATCAGGCTATATCATGGGTCAGAGCCAAAGTCAGGTGATATCAAGGATCAGAGCCAAAGTCAGGTTATATCATTGGTCGGGGTCAAAGTCAGGTTATATCATGGGTCGGGTTCAAAGTAAGGTTATCTCATGGGTCAGAGCCAAAGTCAGGTTATATCATGGATCAAAGCCAAAGTCAGGTTATATCATGGGTCGGGGCCAAAGTCAGGTTATATCATGGGTCAGAGCCAAAGTTAGCTTATATCATGGGCCGGCATCAAAGTCAGGTTATATCATGGGTCGGGGTCAAAGTCAAGTTATATTCTGGGTCGGGGCCAAAGTCAGGTTACATGTATATCATGGGTCGGAGTCAAGGTCAGGTTATATCATGGGTCAGAGCCAAAGTCGGGTTATATCATGGGTCGGGGTCAAAGTCAAGTTATATTCTGGGTCGGGGCCAAAGTCAGGTTACATCATGGGTCAGAGCCAAAATCAGGTTATATCATGGGTCAGAGCCAAAATCGGGCTATATCATGGGTCAGAGCCAAAGTCAGGTGATATCATGGATCAGAGCCAAAGTCAGGTGATATCAAGGATCAAAGCCAAAGTAAGGTTATATCATGGGTCGGGGTCAAAGTCAGGTTATCTCATGGGTCAGAGCCAAAGTCTGGTTATATCATGGATCAAAGCCAAATTCAGGTTATATCATGGGTCGGGGTCAAAGTCAGGTTATATCAAGGATCAAACCCAAAGTCAGGTTATATCATGGGTCGGGGCCAAAGTCAGGTTATATCAAGGATCAAAGCCAAAGTCTGGTTATATCATGGGTCGGGGTCAAGGTCAGGTTATATCATCGATCAAAGCCAAATTCAGGTTATATCATGGGTCGGGGTCAAAGTCAGGTTATATCATCGATCAAAGCCAAATTCAGGTTATATCATGGGTCGGGGCCAAAGTCAGGTTATATCATGGGTCAGAGCCAATGTTAGGTTATATCATGGGTCAGAGCCAAAGTCGGGTTATATCATGGGTCAGAGCCAAAGTCGGGTTATATCATGCGTCAGGGTCAGAGTCAGGTTATGTCCTGGGTCAGGGTCAAAGTCAGGTTATATCCTGGGTCGGAGTCAAAGTCTGGTTATATCATGGGTCAGAGCCAAAGTCAGGTTATATCATGGGTCAAAGCCAAATTCAGGTTATATCATGGGTCGGGGCCAAAGTCAGGTTATATCATGGGTCAGAGCCAAAGTTAGGTTATATCATGGGTCGGGGTCAAAGTCAAGTTATATTCTGGGTCGGGGCCAAAGTCAGGTTATATCATGGGTCGGAGTCAAGGTCAGGTTATGTCATGGGTAAGAGCCAAAGTCGGGTGATATCATGGGTCGGGACCAAAGTCAGGTTATATCATGGGTCAGAGCCAAAATCAGGTTATATCATGGGTCAGGGCCAAAGTCAGGTTACATCATGTGTCGGAGTCAAGGTCAGGTTATATCATGGGTCAGAGCCAAAGTCGGGTTATATCATGGGTCAGAGCCAAAGTCGGGTTATATCATGCGTCAGGGTCAGAGTCAGGTTATGTCCTGGGTCAGGGTCAAAGTCAGGTTATATCCTGGGTCGGAGTCAAAGTCTGGTTATATCCTGGGTCAGAGCCAAAGTCAGGTTATATCATGGGTCAAAGCCAAATTCAGGTTATATCATGGGTCGGGGTCAAAGTCAGGTTATATCATGGATCAAAGCCAAATTCAGGTTATATCATGGGTCGGGGCCAAAGTCAGGTTATATCATGGGTCAGAGCCAAAGTTAGGTTATATCATGGGTCGGGGTCAAAGTCAAGTTATATTCTGGGTTGGAGTCAAGGTCAGGTTATGTCATGGGTAAGAGCCAAAGTCGGGTTATATCATGGGTCGGGACCAAAGTCAGGTTATATCATGGGTCAGAGCCAAAATCAGGTTATATCATGGGTCAGAGCCAAAATCAGGTTATATCATGCGTCAGGGTCAGAGTCAGGTTATGTCCTGGGTCAGGGTCAAAGTCAGGTTATATCCTGGGTCGGAGTCAAAGTCTGGTTATATCATGGGTCAGAGCCAAAGTCAGGTTATATCATGGGTCAAAGCCAAATTCAGGTTATATCATGGGTCGGGGCCAAAGTCAGGTTATATCATGGGTCAGAGCCAAAGTTAGGTTATATCATGGGTCGGGGTCAAAGTCAAGTTATATTCTGGGTCGGGGCCAAAGTCAGGTTATATCATGGGTCGGAGTCAAGGTCAGGTTATGTCATGGGTAAGAGCCAAAGTCGGGTGATATCATGGGTCGGGACCAAAGTCAGGTTATATCATGGGTCAGAGCCAAAATCAGGTTATATCATGGGTCAGGGCCAAAGTCAGGTTACATCATGTGTCGGAGTCAAGGTCAGGTTATATCATGGGTCAGAGCCAAAGTCGGGTTATATCATGGGTCAGAGCCAAAGTCGGGTTATATCATGCGTCAGGGTCAGAGTCAGGTTATGTCCTGGGTCAGGGTCAAAGTCAGGTTATATCCTGGGTCGGAGTCAAAGTCTGGTTATATCCTGGGTCAGAGCCAAAGTCAGGTTATATCATGGGTCAAAGCCAAATTCAGGTTATATCATGGGTCGGGGTCAAAGTCAGGTTATATCATGGATCAAAGCCAAATTCAGGTTATATCATGGGTCGGGGCCAAAGTCAGGTTATATCATGGGTCAGAGCCAAAGTTAGGTTATATCATGGGTCGGGGTCAAAGTCAAGTTATATTCTGGGTCGGAGTCAAGGTCAGGTTATGTCATGGGTAAGAGCCAAAGTCGGGTTATATCATGGGTCGGGACCAAAGTCAGGTTATATCATGGGTCAGAGCCAAAATCAGGTTATATCATGGGTCAGAGCCAAAATCAGGCTATATCATGGGTCAGAGCCAAAGTCAGGTGATATGGATCAGAGCCAAATCAGGTTATATCATGGGTCCGGGTCAAAGTCAGATGATATCATGGGTCGGGGCCAAAGTCAGGTGATATCATGGGTCAGAGCCAAAATCAGGTTATATCATGGGTCAGAGCCAAAGAATGGTTATATCATGCGTCAGGGTCAGAGTCTGGTTATATCCTTGGTCAGGGTCAAAGTCAGGTTATATCCTGGGTCGGAGCCAAAGTCAGGTTATATCATGGGTCAGGGTCAAAGTCAGGTTATAGCAAGGATCAAAGCCAAAGTCAGGTTATGTCATGGGCCGGTGCCAAAGTCATTTTATATCATGGGTCGGGGCCAGAATCAGGTTATATCATGGGTCGGAGTCAAAGTCAGGTTATATCCAGGGTCTGAGCCAAAGTCAGGTTAAATCATGGGTCAAAGCCAATGTCAGGTTATATCATGGGTCAGGGTCAAAGTCAGGTTATATCATGGGACAGGGTCAAAGTCAGGTTATATCAAGGATCAAAGCCAAATTCAGGTAATATCATGGATCACAGCCAAAGTCGGTTTATATCATGTGTCGGGGCCAAAGTCAGGTTATATCATTGGTCGGGGTCAAAGTCAGGTTATATCCTGGGTCGGAGTCAAAGTCTGGTTATATCATGGGTCAGAGCCAAAGTCAGGTTATATCATGGGTCAAAGCCAAATTCAGGTTATATCATGGGTCGGGGCCAAAGTCAGGTTATATCATGGGTCAGAGCCAAAGTTAGGTTATATCATGGGTCGGGGTCAAAGTCAAGTTATATTCTGGGTCGGGGCCAAAGTCAGGTTATATCATGGGTCGGAGTCAAGGTCAGGTTATGTCATGGGTAAGAGCCAAAGTCGGGTGATATCATGGGTCGGGACCAAAGTCAGGTTATATCATGGGTCAGAGCCAAAATCAGGTTATATCATGGGTCAGGGCCAAAGTCAGGTTACATCATGTGTCGGAGTCAAGGTCAGGTTATATCATGGGTCAGAGCCAAAGTCGGGTTATATCATGGGTCAGAGCCAAAGTCGGGTTATATCATGCGTCAGGGTCAGAGTCAGGTTATGTCCTGGGTCAGGGTCAAAGTCAGGTTATATCCTGGGTCGGAGTCAAAGTCTGGTTATATCCTGGGTCAGAGCCAAAGTCAGGTTATATCAT